ATGGCATCATCCAGATAGTGGTTCCTTTTCCAACCGTACGTAATGGCCAGGGTGTCAGCAAGACGTGCGCCGAGGATGAGAAGCGAAGGAAGAACGGCGTAGAACCGAGGTATGATAAACACGACAAGCGATTGCAACAATGCCCCTAGAAGTATCCAAGTCGACAGTGAAAAATTCTGACGAAGAATCTGTGAAACAGTCAGTATTGGGAATGCGACCAAGGAGTAGGGAGGAAATACATAGAGAAGTCTTCGATTTGCGCTGGGCCAATTGGATTGCGCTGGTGGCGGCTTTGCTGATGGAGGGAGTAGTGACTTGAACGCCATTGAGCCCAGGAGTGTAAGTGTCGCCAGATGATGATGGTTCTGTGTGTTTGGTTTGAGTTCGCTGTGGTGTGATTGGATGTGATGAGATGTGAGATGTCAAATGGTTCTGAGGTGTGAACAAACAGGCCCGACTTTATATCAAACCCTGGCTCTTACATACTGCGGACTGCGGAGAATGGGACGACAAATTGCAGGCATACCGATCGCAAAGGTCAACCGGTCCCTTTCACCCATTGCATCATACGCAATTCACCTTGCGGACGCAAGGGCTCTCAGTACGACGACTAATTAGCGTACCACCAGTCGGGGGTTACAATAGTACACTCAGCGATTAGTTGAGCGTGCCCAAGAGGTGGGCAAAGCAGCCTTGGAAGGCAACAGGCGAATAAGACGTGGCTGTTGTTGATCCGCGTAGAATGCCTCAGAGTCGGACCGCAAGCTGGAGTCTCTAGAAAACCGAAGCGTGCTAAGTACGAATTCCAGTCCTAAGGCCGTAAGAATCAAGGAGTGGACTGGGCGGAGCATGTGAAGCCCGCGAGCGAGAGGATATCGAGAGGGAGGGGATGTGGTGATTGCGGGGTTTCGCTGACATAAGGGCGTCAGGCTTTGTGTTTGTAGATTCGGCCGTAGGATCAGTCGATGTCCCTGTCCACACGGCCGTAGGATAAGGTATGCAGTAGGTCATTCGTAGCACCGGGGAACCGGCCTAGAATACTGAATGTGTTGTATTCTATCGCCAAGATAAGTACTCGAAAAACGCGGGCCAGATTACTGTAGGGACGCAATTCTTTCATAACTCGGTCTGATACCTTTGTAACCGACAATCGGATACGACTCGCAACGCAAGACGCATAAATCACTAGACGTGCTGAGTACCGGAAACTTCTGTAACAGAGCCGACGTCAACAGTGCATGCCCAAGGTCGATCCGGATCCCATCGACAGGAGTACATAGCTCGCTGAAGAGACGCTGCTCTAGCAAGAAAGCAAGCGTCCTCGCCGTACAATAGCCATGGAGACCCAGAAAGCACATCCGGAAGGGTGGGCATCCGAAACAAGCCAAATCATGATTATGCATCTGTGTACGAGGTATTCAGGAAGCGAAAGTGGGCGTACTTGTATCGCAGTCGATCTACTCTTCGTCTTTCTTTATGCCCAGTATTCTATCTCTACTCTGTACCGGTCTGAGGGTTCTATGTCGTCAATCCCATAATGCGTCGCTTCGCCCCCCATAACCCAGGCAATCATGCAAGCTATGCTGGCCACCGGAATCCTTTCATAACGCCTTCGATTTGGCACCCCTCATGATGTTGAGGACTTCGAGGTCTTTGCAGGTGGGAGTCCAAGGCCGTTGGAATTGCGGAAGAATAGCACACCGGCATGTTCACCAGTGGCTCCCTCCATCGGTTCGACCCAGCCGCACCATCTCATGGATTTCCACAAGCTCTTGATGAAGCCAATTGGACCATCCTCGACATCACTGCGGTAATGACGACCCATAACCTTCTTAATTGCCTCACTCGCCTCATCTGCGTGGTAAAACGGAATGGTGCTGACATAGTGGTGCAGAACATGGGTCTCGATGATCCCGTGCAGCAACTGACGACCGATGAAGCCGAACTCTCTGTCGATCGTGGCGGCCGCCCCACGAGTATACGTCCACGTCTGAGGGGTGTAGTGCGGCAGAGAGGGATCGGTGTGCTGCAAATAAGTGATTGCAACTGTGCACCTGTCAGCGAAGAGATCGGGAACATATATGAGGCCGTCAAGAACTTACCCAACCAGTGGTTGACCCAAAGGTATGGAGCGAAATACCATAGGCACAGATTGGCGAAACCATAACGCTTACCAACCCAGTAAAGAATGCTACCCACGGCGAGGAGACCAAGATCACTCAGGGCAATCAGCTTGGCATCCTTTGCCTCATACAAAGGACTGCGGGGGTCGAAATGGTTCACACCGCCACCGATTCCGTTGTGCTTGCCAACACCACGACCCTCACGTTGTGCCTCATGCTTGTTGTGGCCGGTGACATTTGTGAACAGGTACATTGGCCACCCAAAGAGTTGCTGGCTGATCAGATGAACTGCTGTGGCAAGGGGAGTCTCCTCGGTAAGCTCATCCAGCTGCTGAAGCAGGTAGCTTCTGCGGGAGCAGAATTCCTCTTTCGTCTTCGGAACGAATACCATGTCTCGCTCCATGTGGCCAGTGGCCTTGTGGTGCTTGCCGTGAGAGATTTTCCAGGAGAAGTATGGTACCAAAAGAGAGGTGTGGCAGAGGAAGCCGACAGTGTCGTTCAGGACTTTGCTGGGTGAGAAGGATTGGTGACCGCATTCATGAGCCAACACCCAGAGACCTGTGCCAAAAAGGCCCTGCACGAAAGTGTACAAAAACCAGAGGCCGGCTCTGAGAGGAGCAGATGGTACGTTCTCCGGTGTCAGAAAGCGGTTGAAAAGGTAGAAGGTGACGGCCAGGGAGACCACGTCTCTAGCGACATAGTAGAGACCAGTAGCAGCAGATCGCTCGAAGCAGTGCTTGGGGATGGCCTTGTGAATATCGCCAATGGTGAAATCGGGAACCTCGAAGGGATTGCCATATGTGTCGACCAACTGTCTCTTTTCAGAGGCCTGTTTCTGGGGGGCGGCGTCTTCAGATGCGAGGGAGGACAGTGAGGTGGAGGACGGAGAGGATCTCGGACTATCGAGGGGAGAGATGTTGGCAGACGAGACAGGCGTAGAATCGGTGGTAGCCATTCGACGAAGAGCTGCCTCGGCAGGCAGAGCGGTGGTAGTCATGGTCTACCTTTGGATAGGAGAGGCTGAAAGGTGCTTTGGTGGTTGAGCTGGAGGGGAGTGAGGAATATGAGAAGGCGTTGAGTGAGTCCTTTGGGCTTGAGCTTGAGACTGTCACTGAAGAACTGCAGGTCAGGGAGAGGAACAGCTCGAGAAAGATAAATGGTATTGCCTGGCCATGGGGCAGAGAAGTAAACTGTGACGGGCTGGTCCCTATCGTAGAAATGAACGGCCAGCAAGTGGTGCAAACGCAGGGTGGTGGAGAGAGCGTGTGGGTTGTCGGCAAGTGATTTTTTTTTGGCAGGGGTGAAAATCGCATTCTCTCAACAAACTTGAGGTCCCTCCAAGCTAGCGCGACAGGGGTGCAACCCAGCTAAATCCAGGGCCCAAAGAGCTGCACGGACGTCCCTGGGCGGTGAGGGACGATTTTGCAGCTGGGGCATCGAGGCCGAGGATCGCCCAGAGATGGGTAACGCAACTAAGGACACGAATATACACCAGTGCCTTAGTCCGGCACAATTCGCTAGCGCAAATCGGCATTTTACGCGCCTCCAGTACGGAGTACAGGTCGGTCCTGCGTCGCTCATTCGTTTCACTCAATATGGATAGAGAGACACTGTAGTCAAGCGTGCTCGCAGGGGAAATCACGGAGAGACGGCTAATTGTATTTGAGCAAGGTCCGTCGTTGTGAGCCTGCCACACTAGATCCGGTCGTATAACACTCCCTGCTACCAAGGCTATTCTGTTGGAGGGGCCGTCTACTCGAGTGATCAACGGTCAGCAGGCACTCCGAGAACGACGCTGCTTCCACTGTATACACAGTAGCCGGGATCGCCAAATACCCATCACACAGAGGTGCGAGCATCACAGCAGCCACCTAACCACGGCAAGAGCGGCCTTGGGTACGGATACTGTTTTCCTCGTTGACCGAGATCTTGGAGTTTTGATCACAAACCTCCCCGAAGCCTTGGCCCGCACGCACCATTTGCTGTGGACCCCTCAAATCCCTCCAGCAATACCAAGTAGACAAGCCCGGTCCGTTGGTGGCGGCGTAGCCGTATGATATGCAACAGCCACCCGTCAGCTGGTAAAGCTGAAAGGACCGGTCATGCTTACCGCTTCGAGCACATGCTCACCCCCAAAGAGATGATTGCTGGCAGCCGAAGGGTGAGCTTGTCAGGACAGTGTAGATCCAAAGCCAAATCGCTCTGTGCATGTGCAAGACATGCAACCTTCACGTGCAACAGGAGATGAGCCGTCTCAGCAGCATCTTTCGTGCTCGGTGGAATGGACAAGATTAGCCAGTGAAGGGCGATTGAATCGAGCTGAAGCCTATGTCCGCTTTCCATCGCCCTTGGCTGGGCGGTCACGTACTGGGCAGAACGACAGGGCTCGGGTTTGGGACGAGACGCACAGTGGAACTAAGCACCACCTTAGCGTGTTAGTTATACTCTGGACAACCCGTTCTGTGTCCTTCGTCACCGACGGATATGCAGGGCGAAATCGGAGCTCCCACGAAAACGAATTTGTTGGGGAGCTGAGACTCGAGGCTAACCTTCCTCGACTTTTGCTGATGTTTGCAGGGGTCCAACGTGGCAGCCTCGGCAATGGCGTCACCCCACAGCTGTAGCCGCACCAAGCCTAATGAGAAATGGCCGTCGGTTCGTGCCGATGGAAGACCCTGGTAGAAGCTCTCCAAGTGGTTCGAGAACTGCAGCTCAAGGTTTCTAGAACTGCCGATAACGAGGCGGTTCCTGGCGCTTTGTGTCACTGTACATCCTCGCAAGTCTAGAATGCGGCTCAAAATCCTCGGGCCAGGTGTATGGACTCCAGGATACCGCCATGGCGGCTGAGAGAACATTTCGTATCTCAATATCCACCAGTTAGCCGACGCCTCCACGGCTCTCGCTTGCTATTAATCTCCCTGTGCCATCGTCTGGTATTGCCCCGAAAATTTCCACCGTTGTGCTTCGCAGATCTGGGGTAACGAGAACACTTCGGCCGTGGGTCGGATTGTGCAATTCGCTCGTCACATCTACCCATTCGTCTTTGCCACTGTTTGGAGCTCGCCTGCGACATCGTAATGTGACTGTAGGGATCAGAAGGTGTCCGAGATGCTGCGGAAACAAGACAATCTGTATGCGGGTAGGCTGCTGGGTCAACCAGACATTCCCTTTGCGTCTTCCACCAATCAACCAGGAATCAGAAGGGGCGACAAGCTCAAATGATCCTTCCAATTCGAAGTCCACTTTGTCCTCCATGGTTATAACGAGTTCAGCCATGATGGGCTGGCCAACCGTAGCGGTGGAACTTGTCGTTGCCGAGTCATTGAGGTCCAAGAACGCCAGGACCAAGAGTGGCCTCGGTGGAACGTCAACGAACAATTTCAGCTGTCGTTGAGGTACTTTTGACGCCGAAAACTTGATGCGGGGTGTCCGAGAATGCCAATCTCGAAGCCAATTTTCGATGTTGGCTCTGGTATCTCCGTCAAATGCACACAGGACCGAAGGCCATTCCATGTCCTCCATCTTCCATACCTCAAACTCCTGCAACAACCCAGCCACCTCCACATCCTGCTCAGTCCATGTCGATCGAACTCGCTCCACCAAATGCGACGCCAAGAGTCTGGCTGCAAAGGCATAATCTGATCGAAGAAACTCTTGGACGAAGTGTGTCTCGAGAATGGCGAAAATCACGCCGTCGAGAGATTGAAAGTCGACGACGAGTGTCATTCTGCCAACAGTGCCTTTCACGTCTTTGCGCTTCGGGATCAGCCGTACAGTCCAATTGGCGGGATGCTTCGGAAATACAACAAATGGCTCATCAAAACTTCCCCCAGTCACCAGGTGACAGAAGTCGTTGTCCTCCAGCTTGCAGCCAATGAGACGCAATGGCACCATTGTCGAGGGACTGACGGTGAACTTGGAGTACATGAAGTCCCTGCGGAAAACATCTTGCACATTGACTGTGACAGGTAAAATGACCTTGACAAAGAGCGTATCGTGGAATGTGAACGTCCCTTCGTCGGTCTCATAATTTGCTTCGATGCGCAGTGTCACGGCTGGCTCAGAAGCCACTTCCATGGTGTAGGGAATCTCCACGTCAGTGACTGAATCTGGGCCTAGATCGTTCATGATCATCAGCAACGCATCGCCCTCCCGTGCTGTTGACAGACAGACGGACTTCCGTCGCTCGTCTACTAGCTTCGAATCATGAATGTTGAGTCTCAACCCGGCTGTAGCTGTCCGCAGGCGGAGTTTGCACTGCTTGATGTTGTTGCGACCCGGTCTGACTTGGAGCAACAGTCGTCGTACCTCAGCCAGATGTACGATCGGAAAAGGATACATTTTGACCCCAAAACTCCGGTAGCTGGGATAGACAAGAAGCGGCACCACAGCTGAATGGGCGCCGAAACTTTGCTCAGACCTGGACGCTTCACCGTCCTGGCCTAATTTGAAATGATGCAATAGCCTCAGGTTGCCAATGCACAGTTCGAGATCATCAGGAACATACCAGCCTTGAGTAGTCACAGGAGTTTCCAGAGTCACAGTCGTGCTTGCGGCGGTGATAACCACCTCGTCACGCAAGGCAAGCAAAATATGTCGTGGATCACTGCCATCCTTGGTGACCAATCGCAATTTGATTTCCTTGATAGAAGGAGCGCATACGCCAGGCAGACAGGCTATGTCTACTGAAGTAGAGAAACCATCTCTGCGCTCTAACGGGAAAATGGTCTTCGATACTGCAGCGATACGAAATAGTGATACCGCTGGAAGTGTGGTGGCGGGAATTGTCGGCAAGACCCGGAATAATTCGTCAATGTAATATTGCTTCGAAGTCGATAGTGACTCCGTTGAGTCTTTGCTATGAGCCTTGCTTGCGGAGTGCAGGCAAGATATCAAACATTTCGCGTAGTCGCTCGGTCTGTCCAGATTTCGCAGACAGTCGGCATAGATACGCAGCAGATAGCCTTCCGACACACGGTAGGAGAACTGGGGCAGTGAACCAATGATACTGTGAAGGTAACGAGCTGCGATAACGTAATTCCCTTGCGAGTATTCCATACCAACCAAGTCGGTTAGTATCTGCTTCGATGTAGCTCCGTTACCCGTCCCAGAAAGGGTACGGTAGGAGAAGATAGACAGGATGAGGTAGAGGCTCGTAAAAGTCTTTTTGGAGGACGCTGCCGCCTTCAAAGTGGTCGAATCCAAACCTGCCAGAAGCTCAGTATGCGCAACCTGATCATCCATGTTCTCGGGATTCGCCTCGCCATTGGGGACACCGCTCGTGCCATGTTTGCCAAGATTCGGAGCCAATCGTGTCATGTTCGTGACCCATGGTCTGGTTGCTTCGAGGTTTTCTAGCAGGTGTCTAGCCATTAGGACCAGCTTTGAAACCCACAAAGCAAGGCGACGGGACCCAGGATGTGTCGTGATGGATTGTTTGTAGCTTGTGCCATTAGGAAGAATTGAATTTCTCTTGGAACGCTCCTGAGAATGTTCGCGCGAAGGGGAACGCTCACGTCCGAGAGAAATTCGCGAGGAGCTCGCGGCAAACTCAGGGGCGTGACGCCCATGGTCAGAATCAGCATCCCGAGAAAGCTCGGCAGCACCCAGAGAAAGAGCCTGGGTATCATGTTCATCGTCAATATCGAGTGTTGGCACAACCTGGGTAAGGATTTGCATAGCAGCTCGCCACTGCCAGGTACAAACGATATTACCGGTAACTGTACGCTGATTGTGCAGCTCCTCTTCACTCAATCCTTCCTGCCCGCCCCAGGCATGATAGAGCTCAAAACGAAGGGTGCGCCCAGCAAGATTGATAAACTGGGTAGCTCGTTCCACCAAATCAGCCTGTATCGCCGGATTGATGCCGGATTTACTAGATTGAGAAGCTTTCGTCGACCCTGGCTGCGCTTGCCTGTTCAGGATTTCCATCTCGCGAGTGAAAAGGTAAATGCGGAGGTCAAGGGCCGATACTTCGTTCGACAGGATGAGCTTCTGGTAGTTTGTCCTGTCGGCATCGAACGGGAAAGCGTCGCGATCTGCATTCAGAATATGCTTGATGTCAATCGGTAAATCAATGAATTGGGCAGGCCGTATCTCGGAGTCCAGTGCAGCTCGTAGGAGGGCTTTAGATTCTTTCGAGAAAGACAACAGCGCTCCACTGTCATCATTATAATCTGCTCGAGCTTGATCTTTGACGAGAGCGTCGAGGCCCAAGGAAAGCTCGTCGTACACGCCAAGGGCATCCTCTAGCAAGCCAAGATTCTCAAACCCTTTGGCGAGACCCTCCTTCAGAATGAAAAAGGTGCAGAAATTCCAGCCGGGCAGATGTCTTTGGCTGTCACGTTCGCGGATATCCGACTCATATTGCGCGACCCGAGCATCGAAGGAACGCAGGATGCACGACTTGAGGCCGTCCACCAGATCTTGCCATTGCTCTTCCAATTCCGCAGGCGTGAGCGCCGTGGACTTGTCGCCGGGGTCGAGGAGTCGGACCTGAGCAACGCGACTGATGCCAGACTTGGAACTGTTGAAATCGGCCCTCAATTTGTCGAAGATGGTTGAGGAGCCCTTGCCCGGCCATTTGGATTTGCTGTTAACGCTGTCGGTACTCTCAGACGCTTCCAACGAGATGTGCTTCGAGGACTTTGCTTGACTCGCTGCCGGAGTGTTTGGCAGCACCACGTGCAGAACTAGCCATTCAGATGCATCGTGGTCTTCCTGGCTCTTGCTCGAAGACTTGTTGTCACCCGAAGGAGTTTGTGATTTGACCCATTGGCGGACCTCTTTCCTGACCTTCTCCTTGTACGTTTCTTTGTCATCGCATCGTACCAGAAGAAGCTTGACATAGGGTGTTTCGCGAAGACCAGGGATTTGATGCCTGCGGACACTTGACTGCGCGCCTGCTGATTTGTCCTCTCGAGTCAAGGAAATGTTTAGATTCGAGATCGATCGAAGTGGTCGATTCGGTGCTTTCCAATGAAGATTTCGCAGAGGGCTCCTGGCAGAGAGACGTGGCTCGACGCGGTCGAATAGACCATTCGGATCGGTGCACTGGATGATTACCTTGGAGTTGGTAGTGACAGGTATATCCGTTTCGTCCATGATATGTGAGAGGGAATGGACTTCGCAGGGTTGGACGACCTAGACGGACTCATTGTGGCCGAGCGTCTAGGGGAGTAAATAAGCCGCATATGAAAGCAAGGACCTCATACTCTAGCAGAGACACTGATGGTTCCAGGCATCCGGCAACGATGTGAAGGCGACTCCTGCGTACTCCGAACCTCAAGTGGAATCACGATAGTGCACTGTTAGGCCAAGTGCTCCACGGTAGGTACGCAGCGAGGCAGCCCAACGCAGCCCTAGAGGGGATTACATAACTTGGACATGCACCTACACGACGGCCTCGCACCTAGCTCGCATCTCACTCGCTCAAGCAAAACATCGGGTGGCTGCTTGGTGGCCACACGCAAAATTCCCGACCAGCCGTCCTCATTTCCAAGCCAGCTCAGTGCTAATTTGTGGCCTCCAATATTGTCTCAATGCGAATTGAAAAGTGAGTCGAGATGAGTCGTATGGGTGTATCTAGCGGGTGACCCAGTACTTCATGCTGTGTTGCCTGTTGCCCGTTTGAAAGGTATAAACCTGCTCCCTTTTGCTTCTTCTGCTTGTCATCCTCGTCAAGTGCTCGTCTACACGTCCAAGTCTCAGCCCCTTCCCCGTTAGTCATTGACTAGTGGTACTCCGTCCTCGAAATCCGACAACCGCCCACCATAGCCATGGCATCGTCAGCCCTCCCAGAGACTCTTCGCTCGGTGACATCAACCAAGATTCAGGAGCTTAAAAAGCAGCGCGATCAGTACGAGGCCTCCAAGAAGCAGATCATCCGTGAAGTCAAGCCATGCACCGATGATCTTGAGAGAACTCGCAAGCTACTGGAAGGGTCTTGTCGTCAAGCAGGGCTCCGCGTCGTCAAAGATGATTCATCCGGCGAGGATGTTGATCCAGCACCCTCTTCCGACCTTGCAAGAGCTCGCCGAAACCAACAGCTATTTCTCCGACAAGCTGCCAAGGATCCTGCCTTCGCTTCAGATCTCGTCGCCCAGATCCACGATGACTTGGTGGAGCACCTCAACCTGAAGAGCGTGCAACACGAACACGCGCAGTTCTTCTCTGAGCTTGTCACCGAGTGGCTCTCCGACCCCAGAGACGCAGAAACAGGTCTGTCTGGTGGAGGGTTGGCCGAGGATTCGTCATTCGAGAGTGTGGGTCGCAAGGAAATGCACGAGCAACGAGCGCAGTGGGAGTCCATCGTCTTCTCCGTGTCAAATGACGACGAGGTCACCATTCATGCTTATCTTGCTAGGCTTTTCAAAGCACCTGGGGCGACACAGAAGCACTTTGAGGACATACAGAAGTCCACCAGGGACTTCTGCACCACTCTCCGCTCCACCGACGAGCTATTCGACACGGACGGTCTTAAGATAGCAATCAACGGGCTCCTCCTATCTGATCTTCTGTCACACGACAAAGCTGCCATCCTGAGATCCTTCCAGAACAACTCGGCCGTCCTACAGGAAGTAGCCGATGTTCTCAACATGAGATTCGCCTCTCTTGAGACGTGGAAATGGTCAACGATAAACGGTGCCATCTCAGTTGAGCAGCGGCGGCAACTCAATGGGAAATACCGTGTTTTCATGGATGAGGATATCCTCGATGCACTCCTACTCCATACCATCGGTATGAAATGGGCTCTTCATTTCCGGTCCTGCCTCACTGAGTTCTTCGAGTCTCCCGCTTGGCGGAGTGCAGGGGGCAGCGTTCCTCAGACCGACAAAGATCGCCGACGATGGTTTCTAGGGGAGCAATCCAATCCAAGCAGCACCGTAGAAACGAAACGGAAAGAGCTCTATGCACACGACTACTTCATGTCGCAATTGCCGATCTCTGAATCGGAAGGCACACGTGGATACGACAGCGATGACAACACATCTTCAACCAGAAAGAGTCCGGTGGAGACGAAACAAGGCCTCTTGCACCTTTTAATCACCGAAGCTCTCGTGGCAAGGCACCTTCGGCCTACGGTTCCCCATGCGGTCATCCGATCTGACTTTGAATGGTTCGGGCCGTCCTTGTCTCACGGTACCATATTCGCCGTACTGAAATTCTTTGGTGTCGACGCCACCTGGCTGGGCTTCTTCCGAGAATTTCTCAAGGCACCACTGCGATTTGTTCAGGATGGTTCCAAGGGGCAAATCCAGGTTCGGCAACGAGGTGTGCCGATGTCACACGCTCTCAGTGATGTCTTTGGGGAGGTAATTCTCTTTGTCATGGATTTTGCTGTTAACACTGCAACCCAGAGCTATCTCTACCGCCTACACGATGACTTCTGGTTTTGGGGCACGGAGGATTTGTGCGCACGTGGCTGGGAAGCAATGACAAGATTCGCCTCTGTCATGGGCATCAAGTTCAATCAGGAGAAGACGGGCAGTATTGTGTTTGGCCAGGGCATACCCATGCAGAGCAGCGGCCCTACTACCGATCCCAGCATTCAAAAGGGCGATGAGACCGCCCCATCCACGCCGGCCAACTTGCCCAAGGGTGATGTCCGATGGGGCTTTCTGCGTCTCGACGCTACTAAGATTCAGTTCGTCATCGACCAGGGTATGGTGGACGAACACATCAAGGAACTCCGGCGACAATTGTCTCATTGCACCTCGATCTTCTCCTACGTCCAAGCATACAATGCATACCTTGCACGATTCTTCAGCAACAATTTCGGCAAACCGTCTTACGCATTTGGCCGCGACCACATTGACGACATGATCAGTACTTTTGCACGGATCCAAAACACTCTCTTCGTCGACGAATCAGTGACTGACTACCTCGGAAAGATCGCAAATCAAAGATTCGGCGTCAATGATATCCCTGACGGAGTGTGGTACTGGCCTGTTCAGATGGGCGGACTGGAGCTCCGGAACCCGATGGTAGTGCTCTATTGCATGCGCGAGACAATGCGTCAGTCACCGCACAAGATTCTTTCCAAGTGTCTCGACGCTGAAGAAAAGTCATACCTCAGCGCAAAGGCCCGATTCGACTCGGAGATCAGGACTTACGGGAGGAAGCGGTCATGGCCTTCGTCTTCGCCCGGATTTGGTGAGAAATTCATGTCGCAGGACGAGTACCTACTGCACCGCGAAGAGCGCTCAGTCAACCTGTACAATGCCTACGTCCGATTGCTCGACATCCCGATCGAATTCGAAATTCATGAGACAAAGGAAATCACGTCGTGGTTAAACAAGCTGCCGGATTCAAGATCCTCATCTGCTGGGTTCCGTAGGAGCTTCGGCACCATGAAACCATACTGGAAATGGATCCTTGCCGTCTATGGTGCGCAAATTGTGGAGAAGTACGGCAGTGTGCAGATTGTAGACGCCGCGCAGGTGCCTCTGGGTGTCATCAGCGTCATGAAGACTGGCAAGATCCGATGGCAGGGTTGACGGGCTCATGAATGGTTGAATGACAGGGCTGTTCGTTACCTTGGGCGCACGAGATACAGGTTAAGGACAGTGAGAGTAGGCGTTCAGGCGTACTCGGGCTGCCCTCTAGAAACAGGAACACGGTCCGTCCATAGATGCTAAGTTGAGTTCATGGAACATAGCAAAAGTTCCTGTAGTGGCCCCCGGTCACCAGAGTGTGGTATTTCGACTTGGTTGACGGACAATACAATCAAGCAAAGTCATAAACCTATCTCGTTTTGGCATCTGCCGGCCAACTCGACATCCTATCCTACCTTTCAGAAGGCTTGCAAATCCGTCTCTTTCTATCAACCCTCAATGGGTTCTTCGATACTGACGTCTCTTCTCGCCAATCTCTCCCAGCTCGTTCCGCTGAGTCCACCAGCTCAGGATGAATTAGATTTGGGATTGCGCCAACACTTCGGCACCGCTCGTGCCCACCAAGGTCGTCCACTCCACCTTCTGTCGACATCAGATACTGACCAAGCCCGGTCTATCTTCCTGACTCTGCACATTCTATTTCCGCATGAACTACTTCCGGCACTAGATCTGTTGGATCGACAACTTGTCACGAAGCTCATCGTCGACCCTTTCGCAACAAAGCCGGATGAGAGTGCAAAGGTTGGCGGTGGGGAAGAACCGCCAGCAAACGTGGCCGAGGTCGATGATCCCGCCGTCCCACCAAATAGTGGCCATGAAGTCTTCTACATTCAGTCGGCGTTTGCGGCTGAAAAGGCGACGGGATCGAGACACCGCTCACGGTATTCCAGAGCAAGCAAAACGTCAGCGAACTATGAAGTTCAGCTTGACAGCTGGAATTGTTCATGCCCGGCTTTCAGTATTAGTGCATTTCAATGCTTGACTCTGGAACCCCCTGCAGATGAACAGCAGCAGGAAGATCATGCGGCGCCGATACAAGATTCTCCGACGACAGCACGAAGATGGGAGTTCGGGGGCACTGAAACACGGAAAACAGGCAGAGTACCGAGCTGCAAGCACATTGTTGCGGCAGTGCTTGCGAAGGCCGCACCACACCTGTTCAAGGACTCCCTCACGGAAAGGGTTGTAAGGAAGGAGGAGGTCGTAGCTTGGGGCAGTGGTTGGGGAGAGATTGGGGGCTGATGAAGGTGCCACGGAATACAACAAAGTTTCGAAGCCAGGACGTCACATAGGTGCACTACAACATGTCCTTGGAGGACGATAGGCTTGAGCAGGATGTTTTGCACCGACCTGAACCAAAAGGTGCTATGCTTTGAGGTCGAGGGGATCTATTTGCCCAATACGAGCGCGCATGCGGTGTCATCTTGTCCTTTCAACGGTCATAGTGCTGCGACATGCGCCGCAGAAGAAAGAGGGACCAGATGATCTGGTTCGAAGGTCAAGCACCGTCTGGGTATCTGTATCCGTCGTGGTTCAAGTCCCGAAGAAAGGACAACATGGACCACGGCAAGTTCATTGAGCGCGCGATCAGCGGTAGCGCGCCGTACGTAAATGTACAATACCGGCCTCCCGAGCGGCATGCTCTGGTCTCGCAATGCCAGCTTCTCCAACCAAGGACGCCATGCTTGATGCAATTGGGACGGAGCCATATCCATGCTGTTTAGCTCCGCTTCTTCCCTTTTCCTTTCGCAATACTTGAATCTTCAGCCTCCTTCTTGTCGCCATTCACCTCACCATTGACCTTTTTCTCGTCCTTGTCCTTGCCCTTCTCCTTTTCACTAGTCTTGTCTGCTTCGTCCTTCTTTGCCTCCTTCTCTTCTTGCTGCTGTCGATTCTGGTTCTTGTTGTCAATCAAATCATGGAAGGCAGTGATGGCGCGGACAAGAGAACTCAGGTAGATTGTCATGAGCTGGTCGTTGGTTTTGACGCTCATGGCGCGCGCAAGCTCGCTGTTCTCAATCTGTTGCTTGCCATTCGGTCGGGATGCGGGAGGTGTCAGGTTCGGGAGGAGGTTGAAGATGTCCTGCAGATTACCCAGAATTGCATGATTGATAGGCAATTCGCCATCGAGGACTTTCTCCAAGTATGCGCCAATGTCTTTTAACCGCAGATGAAGACCTTGGAGAGACTGAAGCTGTTGTGTGATTCTCGCGGACAAGGTGCCGACCGCGACGTCTCGGATATCTCTCAGAAGATGCTCCACTCCGATCTCTTCTGCTTCTTCGGCTTCAATGATCGAAGGGGTATGCACAAATGTCTTGGTTGTAGTTGTCCCGTCATCTTTGATCTCTTCAATGGCAAAGTAGGCGTCCGTGGGCACACCAACTTCTTTGGGCTGAACGTCGATGATGACGAGTAGAGGGTTTGGTGTGTACTTCTTGAAGAGCTCGTTGATCTCGAGATCTGACGCCCGTAGTCTGGGACCGGAATGATACCAGCCTATCAGCTTTTCTCGGGCGTTGACTTTCTTGAACATTTCTCGCATTGACTCGACATAGTTGTGATCAAGGAACCAGACGGAAGGATCTTTCTCATCTTCTTCAAACGGCACTGCAGACTGTAAGAATGTGCTGATCTGTCACAAGTCGAATAGAACTGACCTGCGAAACTATTCGAGACCCGGACATTCTTGCCGTCATTTTGTCCTAACAAGACACCAACCACCCGTTTCCGCGTGCCCTTGGCAGAGCGGCCGTAATGATCTGCTGCCGAGAGGAGGACAAGGGGAGCGACTGAGACTTGCCTGCTCACAAGGGAGAGCGTCTCTGCGGTTGTGGCGGGCATTCTGGTTCGGAATGAAGGGTAGCCGGATTATTAGACGACGAAGAGGGCCGAAGGGAACGATCCTTGAAGATATGCGCCCGAATCTTGCTGCACAGGCTTCAATCTCGAGTCAAAGAACAGGAGCACAGATCAGAAAGAGCTATGTAAAGCGGTGCGAAGTACATTGTAGTGGAAGGCTGAAGGGCGACGCGACGACCTCGATTTCGTATGCATGCAGCTGAACGCTCATTGCACCGCCGCATTGCTCTCATGCGGGTAATGATTCACCGTATTTCTCGATTCTCACTTTCAATGAAGTCGTACTCGAACCTCATAGCTCGCTGTTTCGTCCGCAATACCAGTGTATTCTACCCAACATTCTCTATTTGAGTGGTATCCCATCATCTAAAATCACTCCCGCGGCGTACCTCATGCAGACCCCCTCGTACTCATGAAATCCCTCGATTTCGGCCGTCCCATGCTTCAGAATCCCTCGAAGCATACAATTCTGCATCTCACGGTCTGACGGCATGATCAGCTCCAGCTTACATCAGAGTCCCATGAGGCAGCGACCGAAAATACCGAATTTGTGTCATTATATCATCAAGTATTGGTTCAGCTTCCCCTTGGTCGCGTTGGGAGGCTCCTTCTCGATGTCAAAATAAGGCTTATTGCTCTGGAGACATGGCGACTTATGGCTACTTGCTCCCACTGACACGGTAGATTATTACGCGAACACGGAGGAAGCGAGGCAAGATGCTAACTGGTTCCTGGCCATGATTGAGCTCATCGTGTTGACTCAGCAGGGTGGCCGGCAACAGCATCGCAAAAAAGGATGTTCGGGTGTAGTTGCCGTTACCCTGGACGCCAGACTGACCAGCCCGCTCTACACTTGTGCCAAACATTGTAGATAGAACTCGACTTTGCTCTCTTGCCCTACTCGATTCCACCACATATCAGCCTCTGAAGGACAAGACCGAGGGGGAAAGGAAATCTTCCGTAAGGAAAGAGATCGGGAAAATTTATATGAAATCCAAATTGGAAAGTATGCGCTCCTGACATGCTTAGATGGAATACAACAATTGGGTCAGGCATACCAAGATTAGTCTCCGGTCCCGTGGACACTCTCGAGACAAGTTTTATGGACTAACAGAGAAGGGGAGGGTTTGATATCGAAGCTTGGCCAGTTTGCAGAATTTGTCTGGGTCAACTTGTCTTCTCCAACATCCTTCCTCGTATCACAGTCCTCTCCGAAAATGCCGAATATCTCTCTCCACGCCTTGCTTACGCAGATGTGGAGGTCCTCCACCCACCTGGGGAAGAGCGACGAGGGACCAGGTCCCACGTCTCCATTCCTCCCATGTCTAAGCTCTGTGGAAGCCTCACACCGCGCCAATGAGGGGTCTGGACCTCGCTCTGGGGATGGGGTTCAACTGTGTTGATGCCTTGATATTCTTCAATCTGCAAAACTCATAATATCAGGATGCGTCTTGACATGGGTTGAGTGCAACCACTGCTTTTGTTCTCGAAAGGACCGGAGAGCTTTTGAAATAAACGGGCTGCATAACGCAACATTGCACCATGGCGGGCAACAGCGTTCTCACTACGCTTCGCCTCGAGGATGTTTCGATTATCAAGACCGTGCTGGCAAGCTTGGTAATAGTGCCTCTGATGTTCGGTATCGGTTTCTACCTCTATGTCACACCAAGCACTTTGAAAGACTCGCGACGAAAGCACCTTCCACCCGGCCCTCGTGGTCTGCCATTCCTTGGAAACTTCTTTGAGATGTCAAAGGCCGAAACGTTTCGATTCCAAGCACGGAAATGGGCCAAGGAGTATGGGGACATCTTCTACACCAAGATGGGTGGAGCAGACTATATTTACCTCTCGTCGCCAACTGCAGTGAAGGAACTGATGGATAAGAGGTCTGGCATTTACTCTTCGCGACCACCGGCGCCTCTCGCAAGCGACGTGGCCTCCGCAGGCCGACGACAGCTATTCATGCCTTACGGGCCGAAGTATCGCGTTGTCCGAAAGATTGCACATCAGCTCCTCAACATAACGGTGTCAACCAGCTATCAACCTATCCAAGATCTGGAATCCAAGCAGTTGATGTACGACTTACTCCGCACCCCGGAGCTTTTCTATGACCACAACCGCCGCTACTCGTCCAGCGTCATCCTCACCGTCGCATATGGTCAGCGAATGGCGAATTGGGACAACCCTCTTGTGAAGAAGATTTACAGTGTCGTTAACAATCTGCAGCAATTTTCTGCACCAGGTGCCTTCCTCGTTGATACATGGCCTTCGCTACGACATTTCCCGCAATGGATGTTTGGCAACTGGAAGAAGTTTGGCGAGAAATGTTTTGCGCATGACTCCGTGGTGTATCTCAAGCTGTGGGGTGATCTGCGGAAAGATGTCGACGAAGGCAAGGCGAATCCGTGCTTTGCGAAGGACTTCTACCTGAGCAATCCTGAGAAGATGGGACTGGACGAACTTCAAGCAGCTTATCAGACGGGCGGCTTGGTCGAGGCTGGCTCCGAAACCACGTCAGCTTTCCTCAACTCCTGGATTCTGGCCATGACCATGAACCCCCACATCCTGAAGAAGGCTCAAGAAGAGGTCGACCGAGTAGTCGGGTTTGACAGGCTGCCGACGTGGGAGGATGAGCCAAATCTGCCTTACCTCAGAGCTATGATCAAAGAATTGCTCCGCACCCGGCCGCCGAACAAATTCGGCATGCAGCACTACACGACTGAGGATGACTGGTATGAAGGCTATTTCATCCCCAAGGATACGGTTGTGGTCTTGAATTGGTGGTAAGTCTCACTCGTATCCGTGGGTAGGATTATTCTGAGATATTTGGCAGGCATATAAACTACGATCCGGACCGCTGGGAGAAGCCAGAAGAGTTCATGCCTGAGCGCTTCCTCGGCTATGATCTCCCTGCTGCTTCTTACATCAATATCGCCAACCCGAATGAGCGAGACCACTTTTCCTACGGTGCCGGGAGAAGAGTATGCCCTGGTGTCCATGTGGCGGAAAAGTCGCTCTTTTTGAACATTGCTCGTGTGCTGTGGGCATTTAACATCTCGAAGAAAGTAGACAAGGATGGAAACGTTGTCGAGCCAAACACTGCAATGGTTCCGGGGTGGATGACGATCCCCCAGCCGTTTGAATGTGCCATCACTCCCAGATCAGAGAAAAAGGCGGCGTTGATCACCCAGATTTGGGAGGAAGCCAAAAGGAGTCTGGACAGCAAGTAGTCACTAGCATTCAAGTCTTGGAAGGCTTTACCTCTGCTTACCCCAGGTTTCCGTTTCTGGCCAGGTGGAGATGCATTCCATAGATTCTTCGCCGTGACAGCGGTACTGTGTACAGAACTTCCTCCAGCATATTCCCCTCGTCAAGAGCATAAAAGGTCACGCAAGGACCGTCCCTGGGAAACCTTTACGCCAACTCAGCACTCCGAAGCTATTTCAGTACCTTTATCTGGCTTCATGCACAACATTCTTGGCCGACACTCGAGCTGCCTAAGCTGGTTTGGTCATTGTGCCGATCATCTCCATGATGACGGGCGCTCAACTGCCGCAACGAATCCCTCCATGGCTCCAAGCCCGCTGCTGGTTCAGGGAATAGAAGTTAGCAAGGGTATACAAGGTATTGCGACGTAAACACGCGCGGTCTGATATGGCGAAAGAGGTAGGTGGTATTTTGCTGTGCGGCCATAATGAATGTCATGCTGCTGGTTTGCCCTCGTGCCCTCGAAGTTTCTCTCAACTTCTCACAATGTCTTTGCTTTCGTGGCTGCTGTGCATCGTGCCACTTGCAACCTCACTTCCTGCCCGTCAGGAAGCGTCCTTGCAATCACGGAACCCAGGGTATCAACCCGGAGAGCAGCTTTTTGCTTGCCCCGCGGCATCATGGCCGTATGCAGATATTGGCACGCTGATTCAACCTCAAATGCCGGACGGTGAATTGCAATCTATTCTTTCGCAGGTGTCGCCGGCGAACATAGAAGCAACGATCTTGAAACTGGTGTCATTCGGCACAAGGCACACGCTGTCATCTCAGACCGACCCGAAACGTGGCATCGGGGCGGCGAGAGATTGGCTGGCCTCTCAGTATCGCGAAGTCGCAGCCGCCAGTAATGGCCAGATGACAGTTGAGGTTATCGGCTACGAACAACAGGCCGACGGGGACCGGGTCCTGTTCCCTGTCAATATCAGCGACGTCGTTGCCACGCTCAAGGGAACAGAAGATCCCGACCGGGTGTACGTCGTCAGTGGGCATTATGACTCCAGATGCTCAGACCCGAATGACTATACCAGTGACGCGCCAGGAGCTGATGACGAGTGAGAAATCCCTCCCGATACATGTCTCATTGACCTACTGACATCCAACAGCGGCTCCGGGGTGGCGATCGCTTTGGAGCTCGCCCGCATCATGGCAACCCGCAAGCCTAAAGCAACCATAGTCTTCGCAGCCGTCGCGGGCGAAGAGCAGAATCTCTATGGCTCGACGTACCTAGCCCAGACGTACAAGAACAACAGCGTCAATGTTGCTGGAATGTTCACCAACGATATTGTCGGCTCACCAGTCGGGCAAGACGGCACGAAGGATCCGTACACCATCCGCCTCTTTGCCCAGGGTCCACCAAGCACGGAGAATACGACGCAGTCGGCGACGAGGCTTTCAGTGGGCGGCGAGAACGATTCCCCCGCCAGAGAACTTGGTCGATTTGTGCACGAAGTAGCTTCGAACCAGTACACCGAAATGAACGTCAGCGTGATCTATCGGCTGGACCGCTACCTTCGTGGAGGCGACCACCGGCCGTTTCTCGAGGCCGGCTACGCTGCATGCCGCTTCACAGAACCGATCGAAGACTACAGACATCAACATCAGGATGTACGTGTCGTTGACGGTGTGCAGTACGGAGATCTACCCGAGTTTTGTGACTTTGAATTCATCTCTCGAGTTGGAAAGGTTAACGGTGCAGCGCTCTGGAGTCTGGCAAATGCACCGGGACAACCCACGGACGTCTTCGTCAACACCACGGCGTTGAGCAACGATAGTCAGTTCATTTGGGCACCACCGATTGGCGGCGGTACAGGCGTGGTAGGTTACGAAGTGGTCTGGAGACCGACGAACGCTCCTTTCTGGACACACGTTTTGCCCGTCGGAAATGTTCTTACTGCCACGGTTGCGTTGAGCAAAGATAACGTCGTCTTTGGCATCCGAAGCGTTGCTGCAAACGGGTATCGGAGCCCTGCAGTTTTTCCGTTCCCGCTGGCGAGTAATTGAGCTCAATTGCAGCATTACACAGCTGCCTCAGGTACTGCGAGTTCCGTACGGTCATACTGGGCAGTACAAGTTTCAACCTTGCCCTTACCTGGGAAATCAGTAAAATCGGGGAACATATTGCTGAAAGGCTAATGCATTGTATTCGAGAAGCTCTGGACATGATGCTTGCAAAAGACGGCGATGATGTTGCTCTCATCACCTATGTTCAAATGTCCAGAGATCCTACCTCGAAATGAAATGGACATGAGATGCGAAACAAAAAGCTAGCATACATGGATTGTGCATTACCGATTCCTCCATTATTTACTTCTCCGCTGCTGCTGCATGCAAATACACGTTCAGCTTGCCGAGTCACATTTAGTGAGCGTGACGGTGAGCGTATCGCTTGCGGTACTGTTCGATGTTCATCTTGGCACCACCGTTCCACAGTCCAAAGTCCAACTCATCAGAGTAACCACGGGCTTTCAAGCCAGACTGACCAGACAACTTGGCGCCTTGTGGGCTGCTAGACTCGTATTCCTGCAGCGCAGAGCATTCACCCTTGAAGTCATCGCCGACATATTTACCGGTCGTGATGTCGCCTGGTCGCTCGACGAATTGCAGAGCAAGACCACCATCAACATGCCAGGCGATATGACAGTGCATGAGCCAGGCACCCGGGTTGTCCGTCTCGAAGCCAATGACCGTGTATCCAGCGGGGTTCCCTGGACCGGCAGAACCTTGGAGCATCACGGTGTCACGACGAGTGGGGTTTTCGAAGTTGAGGGTTGAGATCATGTCGGCGGTGAAAGTGCCAACGCCAGTGCCGAGGACGGAAACGTCGTGGCCGTGGATGTGCATAGGATGAGAAGCAAAGAACTGGTTCTGGATGACGAAGTAGACCCAAGTATTAGCCTGGTTGAGAATGACGGAGTTGCTGATAAGATCGTTAGAGCCACCTTCAGCCAGGGTCTTAAGAGTCGGTTGGCTGTAGTTGACGTTGATGACAGCGTTGTTGATGTACCATTGGAAGACAGTGCCATCATCGTTGGTCGCAACCGAGGTGACCGAGCCAGCGGGGATGGTGGACGCAGACGCCTGGAAAGCGGTAGCGCTGCCACCAGGCTTCTGGAGGAAGGGCACAAGGGAAGCAAGGGGCTCATCCTGGCAGATGTTGGCCGTGACGTTCGTGATGGGAGTGTTGTTGATGGGCGTGACCGGAGTGGCACCCTCGTAGTTGATGACAGCGTTGGCCGTGCCGAGACCAGAATTGGCACCACCTGAAGGACATCCGGACTGGATAACGGCACGAACGTAGTAACTGCTTGGGATTTGATCAGCCTCAACAATGACGTCGTATCGTTGACCGTTGGCGATCTTCAGAGTGGTGGTCGTGTATGGCACGATGGGCACGAAGTCAGCGGCAACGACGGTCATCTTGTGAGAGTCGAAGCTAACAATCCAGCTGTTTTGCGTAGAGCTGCATGACGGTCAGCCAGATAATTTCCCCCAGGGACGACAGAACCAACCTGTTGATGATGCGGAACAAGTGCTTCCTGCAAGGCTTGAGTCCCCACGAGAAAGGAGCGCCACCGGGGCCAACTGGGTCAGGGTTCTTGTTCTTGCCGTTGAACAGAGTGTTGAACGAACCACCGGGTCCGAAGTGGGCAATGACAGCGGCCTGAGCGGCAGCGGTATTGGTGTAACTGAGACAATTAGCAGATGAGCTTGATCAGACAGGGATGGAAAGGACTCACGTATCATCGATCATGACCGTACCCATATCATAGTCGTAGTTGGCGGTAGCAGGTCCGTGGATGACAATAGGGCCGCGAATGCCGTCACCGTATTGCGCAAACGTGTGGCTGTGGTACCATGAAGTACCATATGAGGTGGCCTTCCATGTGTATGTGCGTGAGCCACCGTTTCCAGCAATGCCGCACTCGGTCACACCCGGAACACCATCTTGGTCATTGGTACCGAATTGGCGAATACCGTGGAAATGGATAGACGTGCTGTTGTCTTGCAATTTGTTGATGACAGTGACCTTCACAGTATCTCCCCAGTTGGCCTCAATGACAGGTCCAGGGACCTGGCCGTTGACAGCCAATGCGAGTTTGGGACCCGTCCCATCGTAGACCAGGGTAGTGTTCGTGATCTCCAAAGTGTATTCGCGAGTGACGCCGGTATCATAGTCGTTGGTGTAGTAGTCAGACTTGATGCTCTTCTCGTCGCACCACTTCGATCGGTCGGAAGCAGAGTTGCAGTAGTCATACGTCGCGTTTTGGGCAGGAGTGTATGTTGGGCAGCCCGCAGCGCTGGTGGTAGAAGTGGCCGATGCCGAGGTGCTGGAGGATGGGGTGTAGCTGTAGCTGTAGCTGGAAGATGGTCCTGAGCCTGAGCCAGAGGTGCTGTACGAGTAGCTGCTGCTTGGGCCGGAACCGTGACCTCCATTTCCTGACCCGGTATCAGTGGTCGTTGCGCTGGCGGTGGCACTGGCGGTTTCGGATGCCGTGTTCCAGTCATCCCAGACGCCGTAGTTCGTCTTCTGCGACTGCCAGATCGACCACCAAGCATCTTGCGCGTTGCTGGCTCCATTCCCATCGTGATGGCCATGGTTACCGCTTACATCGGTGGCGTCGGCAGCATCGCATGTTGTTGCTTGCGTGACAGGACAGAACGTGTGAGTTCGGGTGGAGGTTGCGGTGACTGTGACATCGGAGGTCCATGTCGCTGACTCGTGGGCATTTGCAAGGCCTGCAGCAGCAGCGGCGACGAAAATAAAAGAACGCATAACGAACGAATGGACGCAGGCAGATATGCCTGCACAAAGGAGTGACTGAAGGAATGTGATGCGTGCTAAAGAAGAGAAGAGGAAGAAGTAGTAGGAAGCGGCGTAAGTAGGGCTTGTATATCACTCTACCGTGGAAGTTTGGGGCCATTCCGCCATCAGAGATTAGCCAGCCTGATCTGACTGCCGCAAGCCGTAGGATGTGGTTCCGGCCCGCCAAACTGATTTGCGAGCTAGCCATCGACGAGAGAGCTGGTGCAGACCTGTCCCAGATGAGCATAGTGGATGGGACAGGATGATTTCATTCGATGAGGAAAGGCTGCAGAAAAGGCGAGGATCTTCTGGTCAAGCTGCAGGATGAGCCTTGACCGAGTTGCCAATCTTTTGGACACGGATGAGGGGCCAGCCACATCAGCGTTCACAATCCCAAAGCTCACGCGCGAGAAGGGCCACAGCGACAGAATGTTGAGGGAAGCGCCGTGTCAGGGGTAGATGGAAAGCGAAAGGGGAATGGTGGTGAGTCGAGTGGATTTCCATTGAGCTCCAGAGTTCACCAGTGCCTGCGCTGGTGGAAATTGGGAGCGGTCTTGACTTTTGAGCTTCTTTTTTCCGGCGCGGAGCCAGCCAATTGCTTGAATGCGCCAACAGTCGGGGGTGGAGACGAAGTCTGGAAAGGCGAGAAGGCGTGAAGACGAAACAGGGGGGTTACCATGGTTAGAACTCCGGGACTCAGGAGGATCAGAGATGAAATTTGACAAGGGAGAGGGTTTAGGTGGAGGATTCTCGGGGTTGGGATTGGGTCGCGTGCATCGTAAACACGTGTTGAGCTGCAAGATGGTGCTTGAAATCCAAGAAGCGGAGGGGATCAGACACAAACAATCCGAAGCTTGCTGTCAGAGAGTCACATATTCACACTCTCTCAGAGCTGGATTCACCAATTCGCATGATGTGCCTCCATCGCTGATGACGACTCGGCGCATTTGCCCCAGTCAGCACAATGCCTCCCGACACTCACGCTATTACCGAGTATGGGCAATTCGCTGTTTGTGAGAGTGCAACATCAAAAGCTTCTTTGGACATCTGCATCGTCTGCCCGTCAAGGAGATGAGGAGGATCGGGCAAGTTTCATCTCACTCATACCACTCGCCCGTGTTCCTCCAGCCACTCGCGACTTAATGCTGACTGCCAATGCTCATGAGACGGAACTCAGTGCAATCCTCCTGCATCACTGCTTCCCTTCCATTGATCCTCCAGGACAACCACACCACTGAGCGCCGTCGGGACAAGCGAACGAGTGAAAGGGGAAGGAAGGCGGGATGATTTGGGAGATGCAATGTGAAAAAGTGTCTCTGTAGGCATGATTGACACCCCAGGCTGACGGTCGGTTTCATCTTCAAGCGCTCGGCCAGTCCAAGCTACAACTGAGTATCCTTCTCACCGCAATCGCATGCTCTGCGTTTCCCTGCTTGAGGAGCGCCAGAGAAAATTCGTCGCCATTTTGTGACTTCCATCACACGCGTGGCCGGGTGTTAACATTGTGAACAAGCTGTGGCTGCAATTGCTTCGATGTGGTTTGGCGTTTTAGCGTACGCCAGCATGCAAGCCCATACTCCTTACTGTGTCCAACCTCTACGAGGTACCAACACCTCTGCAATTTGCGCCGGTGGGCCTGCTTTTGCTATGAATAATTCAATGCTCCACGCGGTTCAGGGGTGCGCTCGCTACTGAGTAGACAGTGCGGAGTATTGCACAGCCAATTTCTCGTCCTTGTCTCTCTTACAACCGTCCCGTTCCAGCGCGTCTACTTCGCGCGAAGCTTAACCGTGAATCAAGCTCATCATCGGTTGTTACTCCCCATTGCAACCCGAAGGCCTTCAGTTGACCAATGCCCTGCATTGAGACCACCGAACCGTTCTGACGGAGCATCTTGTTACGATGCTGGAGTAGAAACTGTCGCAGTCGATTGACTCCACGTATGATCGAGTTGGTGTGAAGTCAGAGACTCGTGCCCAGGTTCGTGAGATGATTCAGATAGACCATACATGATGGAAAAGAGTATGATCTGCCCACTGCTCGAAAACCTCCCAGGTACACTACACAAGCGATGTGCCGAAGGCTGAGAGGCTAAGTTATTCTCATACGATGCTCACAATCAGTGTTCATAGCCAGCTCTCTGCTGCTCGGCCATGGCCCGTAACTCTCTAGTTGAATATGAGACCTTGCAGATGGCGCCGGATCAATACCGGTGTGACGGACAGAGCAGTGAAATGTTACGGGGATTTGTTGACATTCTCATCCTGCAGGTACCTGGTCGGTGCCCTTATACAAATGCTGTGGCGACGCCGTTACAGCGAGATGGACCACCAGTGAAATCAGGGAATTCGGTGTTCTTCTGAACTAACTCACAGCGACCTTGCAGTATGATGCCGAGGTTATGAACTATTTGTGGAGTCGTCCTGCTCTGCTCAATTCTGCCGGCGATGGCCGGCTCCATGACTTCGCTTTCGTTGAGAGAATCTTCCGTGATCAGGGCATTCCGTCATTCCGTCTTGCTATGGCTGTACGATGCCGCCTACCAGCTCCCACAAACGCATCCCCACAGTTTCTGTGACACCTCCCCAGCCTGGCACCCACAATGCTGCTTGCATTACTAATCATGCTTGTTCTCATCACCATCGAGTGAGCATGCTTGGACATTATTCGCTGGAGGATTGTTGTTCTTGAGAGAGCGTGGCACGCTTCGTAACAGCCATGACGAGCGGGGAATTGTCCACGCCTATGTTCCTCCTTCATAGGTTGGAAACCTAGTTTGATGGTCATTGTTCTGCACCAAAAGTTGATCACCGGTTGACCTCTCCCAGTGGTAGATGTACGAGACCCGACAGGCTGACGGATCACAACATGCGAACCTCACATCCATGCGATGGATGCGCACTAAGAAGGGTGCGATGTGCTGGCGGACAGCCTTGCCTCGAGTGCAGTCATCGATTGACTTCCTGCACCTTTCTCCGAGTACGACGGAAAAGAGGTCCTAAGGGCCCTAGGCCTGGCACCAGCTTGAAGATCGAGCAATTCCAGAAGATACTGCAAGAGGGTGGCAGCCAGCAACCCGTCCGTACTCAGCCCGCAGACTCTGTCCTGCAGCAGGGCAGCGAGAGTCCCGCAGCGCTTCAATCAATTTGTATCCCCATTGCGGTCTATGAGAGGTTCCTACAGATCTTTCGCCAGCGGTTGTACTCGGTTTGGCCGATTGTTTCTTACGATGATCTTGTCGGCCGTCTCAGAAACAATCGGGACGACTATGAATCGTATTCACTTGCAGCCGCTCTATGCTCAGCCGTCATTGCGCAATTGCGTCTCCCGGAGCATGTTGGTCCGTTGGACTACTCCGTTTCGTCTTTCAAGCTGGCGGCGGAGTCGCAGAGACTGAGGCGACTCTTTGACTACCAGGAGCACTTCACCATAGCATCCCTCCTGACCTCGTTCTTTCTCCACATCTACTTCGCAAATGCTGAGAAGCTGCGTACGGCTGGCTTCTTCCTACGCGAAAGTCTCACATACGCGCATGGCCTCAAGCTGCATCAAACCGAATCTTATGCTGGGTTGAGTTACAGGGACAAGCAGTTACGACTACGGGTGTACTGGATCTTGTTTGTGTCAGAAAGGTTTGCTCAACGGAACTTCTTCGAAGCCCCCACTCACAAACGCCTGCAGAACGTATTGCATCCAGAATGATCTGCCGATAACGTTGCGACCGATCAATGATCTGCCAGATGCCAATCCAAAGGACGGATACGACAGCGCTCCGATGCCGGCGTTCGTTAACTTGATACGTTTATTCTCCTTTCTCGATGGCGACATCCTTGGCTGCACGGCTTCACTGAGCGACGCTGCTTTGCAGATTCGCGCAAAAGCCAAAGTATCTCATCTACAGCACAATCTTGTACAACAAGATGCGGGCAAAGACCTCGATGAATCGCAAAGGGTGGACCTACTAACAACGAGAAACTGGATTCGGATTCTCTTGTGGCAGTTCACCATTGCACATTTCTCGGTATCCTGCCGAGCCCAAGACCAGGCCTTTTCAGCATTACTTCCGGCGACTATTGCACAGGATATGCTGTTGGTGCTTGATAAGGTGGCTTGGAAGTCCGTGCAGCCCCACGGATATGGCATGGTAAGTCGTGCGAAGAGACTACCGTCAGACCTAATGGTTGCAGGAACTCAAGATCTTCCGAATGGCTGACTCCCTTCTTGACGTGTTACTGTGCGCCCCTGCCTCGGTCGGCCCTCGCAAATTACTGAGAGATTCCAGGGAATCACTCCATTGCTTGGAGAAGGTTCTACTTCATGTTGGAGGACCAGAGTCGCAGTTCCTAGCTATATTGCGGAAGAGAATGCTTGAATCTCAGCTCCCTCCTCAACAAACCATGTGGAACGACATGAAGATTTCGAGTTCTCAGTACCAGGAAGAAGAAGAAGAGGCGATATCCCCCAGCTGAAAACGGGGTCTGTCCCCATGTCACCACAGGTTGTCGTCGCGACCAGCACCACTGCAAACCCTGTTCCTAACCGATCTCGGCCCTGTTGCTTCGCACAAAGGCAGGGCAGGTGCGAATCGTTCTTCCGAGATTGCTTGTTTCATGTGACACAACTAGATCCAAGCAGCGGTAGCACCTCCAGCGGCAATGGCAACTACACCATTATGAGCGATACGACTGATGACTCCGAGACCATAGCCACCGGCCGCAGCAATTTGAGCGATGGCAAACGGGCCGGAAACGGCCACATCTTCGAGGATTCCTTACATAGCTGCAGCCTTTGGTGCTATTAGAGGGTGGCAGCAGTCAGTAACCTTTGGTCATCTGAAGCCGGAGTTTCAACAACACCGGAAGAGTGACCTACCTGGGTTGACAACTTGAACTGTATTGCCAACTGCAGGATCAATCGGAACAGTGAGAAGAGCTGGACTGCAAAAGTGGCAATGCCGACGGTAGCGACAGCTTCACAGGAATGACGGCTCACAGGAATGACGGCCGGGGAATTGACCATCCATTGAGCGGTCTTTTGTCCAAGATCAGCCAAAGCCATGGATAAGAAGCGGGTTGTTCAGGAGTCCATCGTATCCATGCAGCTACTTCTACGCTTCCACCCACGAGAGCCTGGCGGGCCCGGGTCTAAGTAGGGGTTCCGGCTTTCAAAAGCTGTCCCGCGCTTGAGGCCACTGCAGAGACCGACTCGACAGGAGGCTGACGGTGGTGCGAAGGTCTCACACAGTGGACGGCAGAGTTTCAAGATATGATTTATCTGTCACAGCTTGAAGAATGTGTTATTAGTAGCACAATGGCAGGTGAAGTTAGCCGCCGGCTACGCTTCTCAGTGAATATCGACCAGAGATCTGTCCTCAAAGGGAGCCGACACGATGGAGATTGCCTGCATTATTCTGTGACGCCCCCAACCTCGAAGCTGGAGCAACATGGATATTTGAGGCTCCTTCTCAGCCATGTAACCCCACGAGCTGCTCCTGCGACGTCGGGATCAAGCGCGCCCTGAGATCCGGGGTCTCGTGGAACTCATCAAATGGGTACATTGGTCTGCGGATCCGATGATGTCCCAGCCTTTTCAAGTCTTGGTCAACTCCTCCTGGAGTTAGTGCAAGCCTCCAATCAGCCGCCATGTCATGCAGTCCCGGCTCTAGGTAACCAATCTTGGACAATTACAATGTCCGCCTCGCGAGGTTTCAGATTAAGATCAGTGAAATCGTGCTCGTGATGATACGGTTTTCGCATCTGGGTGAGGATGGCAAAGACGCTGCCGACCTGCAGTACAACCTCAATCCCAGCATCTCTGTCACCGTGTTTGATGGCATGTACCCGGCCTGTGACGGTGATCGGACCAGAGTGGACGTTGTCAACGTCGGCACCGGCGGTGACCGTCACAGTAGCACCAATCCCTGCTTCGATGCACGACTTCACTGCTTTGGCACCTGGAACGCTGGCATAGATCACTGTTGGGCCGGCAGGCTGTTTGAACTCGGGACGATCCAGTACGTGAATCAAGCCCCAGGTCATGTCGCCACTTCCACCGGCAGTGGGGTTGTCTCCCGAGTCGCTGATGAAGAAGGGATGTTTGTTTGATGCTACAGCTGCATCTATGCATTCGCTGAAAGAGCCTGTTGGTCCGACAAAATCGAAGTCTTCGTGTGCTTTCCAGAAGATCTTCGCGAGGTTCTCGGCCTCATTCTTGACCATACGTTTGTCCCAGCCGGTCACCATTACGACAGCTCGATTTCGAGGTTCATCTGCCCACGGATAGCCAACCCATATAGCAGCATCGATAACTCCATGCTGGGATGCTGCGGTCGGCACGGCGCCCGTAAATGTGCTTCGCTGGCTCGACTCGAGTTGAAGTCTGCTCGCCAGGAAGCAAGACTGGAACGGGAACCCACGCGTTGGTGGGCAATTTGGGCAATCCGTAAGCCGTCATACCACCAGGTGCTTCTGTCAGAAGCTCGACCAGATTCCGACAAGCTCGTTCCTTCGTTTCGCGCACGTCGACATGTGGTGCTGTGGGGTAGCATGTGATCAAGTCAGTCTGATGTGCAAGTTCACGACTTACGTTGCCATGCAAATCCATCGATGCTGACACGACTACGCTGTGACCAATGGCTTTTCGAATGCGGCGAAGAAGTTCCGCCTCGACGTCGTCGAGTCCTCCACGCACATGGAGCCATGTATGTCGTACCACAGGCCATGGATTGTGGTTGAAGAGATAATTGCCTCGAGCAGCTTTATAATCTCGTCTGCCAGATCTTCGAAGGCACAACGGGTGACGATACCACCCGGCAGAGCATGGCCGATTAGAGCGCCATGCCAGTCTGCCAGTTTCCCAAGAGGGGGCATCTCGACTGAGAAACGGATACTTAAGACCTGCGACGGCAATAGCTGGTCGTGGTGTTATTTCGCTTTGTCGCATTTCGCATCTCAGGCGTAAGCGGTGGAAGGACGTCCTGTGCGAGTCCTTCCAGTTTAACGAGTCGCAAAGTTGGTTCGATCAAGCCCCATGGTGTGGCTCTTTGTGGAAGGCGTGGGTCAGCCAGAAGTGGCTTATCAAATGCAAGTCAGGTGTCTCGCCGCTTATTTGCAGTCATGGATAAGGCTTTGTGCCGTCTTCCCGTAGCTAGCGAGGATTTACAGTGCAGCTTGCACAAAGCTTCGCCTATTCGATCGACTCGCTCTTCTCTGTAGGCAGAGTATTGGGCTCATCTTTGCGGGTGGTTATCAACTCTAGTGTCGCTGGAGAGAGCAAGAAATACCACCTTATGGAGGGGGAAGGCGAGTGGGAAGTCATGGAGTCGTTTCTTTATCACCCGAGCCTGCCTCGCAATGTCAGAGCGATTCACCTCAGGGCAAAGTCTGAGCACCTCTCATTTGAATTCCGCCACAAGGCTGAAAGTGATATTGCAAAGACATAATGTTGCGAAAGACCCCGACAGGCACTTGGCTTCCGGCTTGGGTCCCAGAGTCAACACTGACTCTCTCGGCCCTGTTGATGATCTGTTCGATGGTGCAATCGGCGGTGAGTTTTTGTCTTCGGCATTGTAGATTTCCCTGACATTGAGCAAACTGGCGGATATGATGGATCAATGCTCAACGGCCTCAACATTTTGCCCTCGTGTACGGAATACTTCAATCTGAACCCTGCGACCACTGCTCTCAACACTGCTTCCGTCTTCATCGGTGGCTTCTTCGGCCCACTCGTCTCGGGGATCATTGCAGATCGCCTCGGACGACGTCCAGCTGTGTTCTGGGGCTCGGCATTGACGCTTGTGGGAGTTATACTTCAGACTGCCGCCCAAAACATCGCAATGTTTGTGGTCGCACGCATAACCCTGGGATTCGGCTCGGCAATCTCTGGAATCGGTGGTGGTGTGTATTTATCTGAGGCTTTTCCGAGCAAGTGTCAAACATGGGGAGTCGGCGTGTTGAATAGCCATTGGAGGATTGTCAAAACTGTACGCCGATGATCCTGACGGCGCTTCGAAGAGCTTGGTCTACGGGGACGTGGCAGTCATGTTCCTGTTCCAGGGATTCTACTCCATTGCCTGGACGCCATTGTTGTACCTCTACCCGCACGAGGTCATGAATTATGCGATTCGCGCGAATGGACTTGCAGTCTCTTCGTTCATGCTGAATGCTCTTGCGTGGGTCAAAGCTCTCTCCTGTCAGTCAACCCACTGATGTTGACAGTGTTCTCCTTGTTTTCATCATACCAATTGGCTTGAACAACATCGGCTGGAAAATGTATATCGTGAATGGATCGTGGGACATCATCGTCGTGGTACTTATCGTAAGTTAGTCCTGTTGAGTCCGTGATCTATCGCTAGTTCTTCAGGCTGTGTTCTGGGTAGAGACGAAAGGCCGAACACTCGAGGAAATCGATGCTATCTTCGAAGGACACAAGCATTCGAACGTCCCAGATGTTGAATTGGTTCGTAGAGGAAAAGCACAAATCGATGTAGGCCAAGTGGAGCAGGAAATCCACACTGTCGTGCAGGCAACAAAATTGGAGTAACATGGGGAGTGAGAAGAGGACCTGATAGACATGCTGAGGTTGATAGTTGTGGACTGTTGCAATCGAATTTCCAGGCGGCTGTGGGCCATCAGCAAGCTGTATTCAGGCGGAATTGCATCGGGTTACTTCAAAACATTTGCCTGTTCTTCATCTCGACAGGCAGGAACACCATGGTAAATGCCGCAAGCCAGATACCACCGGCACCAAGCCACAATATACCCGAGCTCTTCTCCCCCAGGTAGTGTTCTCCGGCGAACGGCGCCGCAATGCCAGCCAACCTTCCGAGACATGAAAGCATGCCGGTAGCACTACCACGGTACGTCGTATCGAAGAGCTCAGGGGCGGAGGCGTACAGAACGGCGTTGAAGTACTGCGAGCAGATGTCAGTACTGACTCCGGAGAAAGGGTCGAAGAGCACCTACCGTCTGCATGATGTATTCAAACGCGTTAAGACCGACATAACCAGCGGTTGTCTTGACTTGCGTGTACATTGCCATAGCGAGACCCTGACAGATGGCGGAAAAGACAAGTGACCACTTTCTTCCAACCAAAGGCAGTTGAACAGATATCAGCGCAACGACAGCGCCTAGAATACCTGGGAGGTAGATGTAGACATATTGCCGATACGTGTCTGTGACAGTACCCTGACCGCTGCTGACATTGTTTCGCAGGAGAATGATGGGAAGGTATGCCCCTGCCAAGTTGAAGGACCAATAGTCACCCTACAGAATATCTTAGCCATTGCGATGCACGCGCGCGAGAAGACGTACCATATAAGCGATCGCCAAGAGAACCCAGATGAAGAGTTGTAACCTGTTGAGGAATAGTCCCTTCAAGTGTTTGAAGCTGGCTACGAAATTCTTAAGGACATTCCTGTTCAATGCTGCAGTGGTTTTGGGACCAGAATCCTGCGAAGCCGCCTCGTCAATAGCATGGAAATATTCTATGCTCAAAGTGGGAGGCGGCGCATGATTGAATTTGGCAATCTTGTGAAGTACCTCGATGGCCTCTGCTTCCTTGCCTCGGCTCAGGAGGAACTTTGGCGACTCGTGGAAATGGAAGACGAAGTATCGCAGGAAGAAGACGACCAAAGTCATACAGCCAAGTACAATGACTTCGTAGCGCCAACCCATATTGGAGGAGACCGTGCAGCATGCTTCACCGTCCGCAACTGCATGGCAAGAGGGAAGAGTAGGATCGCATCTCCATTTAGCAGCTGTTCCGTATGCGATGCCACTAGCCGCCACGACACCAATGGGTTGCCACATTGACAATAGGGAGACGAGGTTTCGACGGTTCTGCGGGAGGAATTCGAGGGCGATAGTTGCGTCAATGGGAATGTTCCCGCCAAGGCCCAGAGAGGCCAGGAAGTAGATCCCGCAAATCGCGCCGTAGTTGTACTTGGGAGCAGCCTGTCGAAGTCAGCCACAACCTTCGAGAAAGCGTCTTCTGACACGTACGAGCAAGAGCCCAAAGACAGAGCATATCAGGCAGGTGAGATTGAAGGCCCACCGTCTTCCAATGATATCGACCAAGATTCCCCAGGTCAAAGCGCCAATAGCCAGACCAGCATTTGCGCAAGACCAGATGGTACCAGTCTGATTGTCAGGCACATTCATCTCTTGATAGACGGCGCTAGCGATCAAGCCAACACCCTGCGACCAGGCGAGGTCGAGGAAGTACCCGAAGCCGCACAGAAACCATATGCATATTTGGTATCTTCCCAATCCGAACTTGTCCAACTCAGCATTGATCAGCGCAGCCTTCTTTTCGAAATTGGTGAGTGGTCTTGCCGCAGTTCCTTTTAGGATACTGCCGAACGACAGGTCAGTCTCGGAGGCGAGTTCAACGGTGTTGTAGATGGGGACATGCGGTCCAGGAGGAGCACGGCGATTGTCAGTGTCGAGGTGTGACGCATCTTTCTCGTTGGGCAGAATCGGTCCTTCAAGACCGAGGGTCGAGTCGCGGACTGGCTTGTCCATAGCTGTTGGCGATGAGCAAAGACTTGTCACAGATTGTGCTAAACGTACCTGCTATATCTGTGTATCCGCAAGGACTGGCGGTCTACCAGGACCAAAACCAGAAGGTCCATGATCGCGACCTGTGGGCGGAAATATAACCGTTTTGCTCAGAGGCGTTTGGCAAGCCCAAGCTGGAGCCGGGAAGACACGAGGCATCTGGAGCTCAAGGGACCGTTACTGAACCATGGTCTCTGACGGCACGCCAACGGATAGCTCATATCGTGGTTGAAGCCGACGATTGGCGAATCGAAGTCAACAAAAGCTGCGATGCGATAGTCGACCAATTGCAGCGACCGCGATCTACGCAACGTCGCGTGTGTGCTGGAGTCACCCAAGAGTTTCGAGGTCGTGGCGGGAGAGAAGGTTGGCGCGCGACATGAGCTTATCCCGTGAGTGGCGACGGATGTCCTTTCCGACAAGCAAGATGCTGATCAAGATTGCAGCTTTACACGGTTTGGGCCGAAATCGACTGGTCATAGATTTGAACTGGGGGACGATTCCGCCTGATTAGATGTCGTGTGAGATGGGCCCGGCTTGGCATCGACGCGCGGTAAAGAGATCGTCCGATCATAGTGTAACAGGGTGGGAAAGCGGTCTCGAATTGACTTTGGACGATGCAATCGCATCGCATAATGCAATTTTGTGTTCTCGATGAAAGGTGGGACTTTATCGCGTCATGATGGATGGTAATCCAGGTTGTTTCCACAGTGGCACATGGTCGAGTGCGGCCTTCCATTTGTGGGCTGGAAGACTTTTATCGTGAAACGCGATGTGTTTGATAAGGCGCTTAAGATTCCCCGAGTCGAGCGACATTCGCCACACGGTTCATGAATTCAGCGACGTTATGCGTGCAGCAGTTCTGCAACCGTCTACGGCAGACTCAGCCAAGAGGAAGTCCTGCGCACCCGCTTCCCGTGAAATCGATCGTACATATCAAACCAATTCTGTTTCCATTTCGGGTTGGCAAGACTGCCACGTTGCTCGATGAATTCCAGGTATCATGCTTCAGACTGCAACTGCGTTCGAAGTGCAGCCCAAGTCGTGCTAACCAATGGACATCCGACGCCACTACCGGGTCCTCCGTTGACATTCTGCAGCGCCACGATACACGTGTTTAGACGTGCGAGTTCGTCTGCTGCCGAATTGCCTGTGGATGTTGTCAGCAACCGAGCTTCGAGATGACTGAATGCGACACGAACCTGTTGGGAACGATGCTCCTCCTGCCACTTGTGCCTCTACGGCGGTGACTAGGTCGTCCACGGGTGGTGGACAGGTACATCTGTTGAAGGTCAGAGTCTGTGCTTGCACTGCTCGAGGTGACTCACGGAATGGCTTTTCCACTTTCGCCGACACAGTTTGCTGTCCCGTCATTGGCTTTTACACCAGGAGTGATCCCGTATGGAGGGATCAGTGAGGCTTGTACTGCGCCGGATCCTCCAGTCGCAGCACCACCACCGCCGCCACCACCACCGCCGCTGCCACCGGCAGGAGGAGCAGCAGCGGCAGAGGTGGCGGCAGCCGGAGCAGCAGAAGCTACTGTGATGAAGGTGTTGGGAGCGTTTCCGCCGTCGCCGCGGTTGAAGCCGCCGCCGTTGTTGAACCCACCACCTCGACCTCCGCCGCCTCGTTGAGCAACAGAGAGGACTGGAAGAATGGCAAAAGCCAGCAGGAAGAAGGAGCGCATGTTGGCCGTGTGATGGCGATCGAGTACTTCTGAGGAAAAGGAGCGACTGAAGTGATGTGATCTAAAAATGAACGAGGCACGACCTGCGCGCAAGAATTGAATGAAGGTCAGAGTGTGAGAGTGCGGTGTGGTTGCGGCAGAAGAATGGGCTGACAATGCCAACGCTATATACATTTCTATTCAACCTACCTGTAGTTGACAATGCGCTCATCGTTCACGCATTGGGTTTTCAGGGTGTCTGCGATATCCTATCCGCATTCGAGGGACTGGTGTTGGCAGGTTCTCCTGAATTGATACCGCCTGAGCCGCGACACTCCATGTTTCAGGTTTCGAAGTTCTCGAGCTACATATCACCATTCGCCAGGAATCGATCTGCATATGCCCCTGCATGGTACATTGCCGTTGACAGCAAGGGCAATGCCCTCCCTTTGTTGGTCTGCGCATTTGCATTGGTTGTCAAAAAGGAGATGTGATGCACACACCTGCGATGAAGCCGTGTGTCCAAGCCTGCCAAACAGTGGAGCGTCCAGGTGGGTGAGATCCCCTGCCCCGCGTGGCCTCGCCCAGCTAGGTGCCTTCGTCTAATAGACAGGAAGGCCACTCTAGGGCAGGTGAGCCGGAGGGGACCCTCCGCGCCCTCCGCAGCCTGCGCACCCTCGGTACCCCAGTCGACAACCCTTTCCGTTAATTACTGAGCTGATGCACGGCTACAAACACTACATTGCCACCTGACCATAGGATCAAAAGCGTCGTCTCTTGAGAAAGGATTCGATTCCGGGGGGGGGGAATTCTAATGCCCCAGTTGCTCCCCAACATGCCTTGGAGCAACATTATTGAATTAGAACTAATATATCGAAGTTGTTCCGTCTCCGCAGGCTGGTAAGAGGCATCGGAGAATAATGGCTAAGCGGACTGAGATAGGTTGTGTTCTGATTAATAAGTCTATATACTTTACAGGTGATAGATCCGTGCTTTAGAGGTCAAATCAATGTTTAGAGAGTTCGCTTGTCGTATCTGATCTGTCCTCGCCCCGTGCGGTGGCTGCCGTGTTTAGCAGACAAAGGGAAGATGAGTAAGAGAAAGGCACACTGACGGTGTGGTAGATTGTTCAAGGGCACCGGATTTGCGTTAAGGGTGTGGAGGATTCGCTTGTATGTGGCTTTTTGCTTGTCGGCTGTGGCTTTCTTTGCGCGGTTGGCGGCGCCCATCATAATGCGGTGATGAGAGCGACGGTGAGGGCGAAAGCAAGTCACGATGGAGGTGCTGATCGATCAGGGATTGGTGTGAGGGAGTTTTAAGAGTTGAGAAGTTTGGGCCGGACGCCGCTGAGTGATTTGACCCGAGCTGGTGAGGGATAGGATATGAGTGAAGGTCAAAGGTGAGAGAGGATGGTAAAGGTGACCGGCTGGCTTTATAGAGCCACGAAGACCATACGCTGGCTCCCATGCTTGGTAGGGTCCATTGACCATGACTGGGCCCTGTTCTAGACACGTTGCTGAACCTGACGTTGCTGGGCTGAGTGTAGCCGTAGGCTCGTCACGCCGCCAAATTGCCTGCGCTGCCTGTCGGGAGCACGCCATTGTTGCACGGTGCGGCTGTCGGTGCATATCTCCTTGTGGTCGTTACTGAAACCTCGGTGGGCACCCTTCCTATATTCCACCTACAGACGGAGCTCTCTGTACACGCACTCCATCCCACTGATCCCGTCCATAAACACCCACAACGATGAGAGATTGGAGGACACATAGCATCCCACAGCGGTAGGCTCTCTTCTGATGTGTTTACTGACGAGTTCGAGCCGAATGTCCGGCAAGGGTGTCTTCCGTGGACTGCAAGGATGAGTTCATGGACTGTCTCGGCAAAATTAGCAGGCACTACTGTGAGATCTACCCGAGATGCACTACTGTGAGATCTACCCGAGATGCACTACTGTGAGATCTACCCGAGATGGACCGGGCGAAAGAGCAGTTTCAAGAACCGCCACCTGTGATCCTCCTCATCAAGATAGCGGTAGGACAAGATCCGTTGGACGAGCGTGATCCCAGATGGTCGCATGGATGGATGATGGCTGGCAAGATTTCGGAATTGTACCTATTGCAAGTATGGCTTTTGTATGTTTATCGTTTGGGAAAAGGGTTAACTTTCATGTTCAGCGCACAAGATGGTTGCAGGATGACTAGGAGAGCGAGCAAGAAGCGGATGAGGAACGCGAGACAAGCGGGTGCGTCGGAATCTGCAGAATATCACGCGAACTGTGCTTTGCGGCCATGGCTGTGTCCATGCTTTCTACCCAGTTGTTTCGCACAAGGGCGGGAGAGGTAGTTCGATTAAGGTTGATCTGGCCTTTGACCCTCCTTGTTACGCCACTGTCCGTGAGTATGGCGGGAAATCATCAGGTTTCGTACGGTGAGATTTGTTCTGTGCCCAAAGTGGCCACCTCGGGCATTCCCGATCGGCCCATGCGGATATTTCGACTTGTACGTGGGAAGTCGGCTGATCAGCCATACAGGCGAGCATATAGCGCCGAAATGGACGCTATCTCTCCTAAGAAGATCAATGCCCATGATACTGGCGGGCATAGAAAGAGGTCATTCGGATACACCATTCTAGAAAGGTTTGGTTGGACGGAGATCATGCCCCCAGACATTAACCACAGAGCTCATTGTTCTGCTCTTCAACTGACGTCGTGTGCCAGAAACTCTGTGTCACATTTCTGACCTCTGATGTTAAGTGGCAAACCCGTCGCGCGCTATATAGTGATTTGGCTCATAAGATCCCAGCTATATATTACACTCGGCCTGATACAGGACCAATCACGAGTCGCTCGGCGGAGACTCACCACGGTCATTGGACACCTCGAGGGAGTGCAGGTAGAGGCCGGCCTAGTGTTATGAATCGCTCTACGTGAGGCGGTCTGCGGTCTAAGTAGGTTTACTTGTAGGGAGAAACAACTGTATGTCTACTAAGGGTGAAGGTGTTAGGGACGGCCTAAGGCGATAGGTAGAGAGTAATAGTTAAGGGTCTTAATAGTATTAGGTATCCCTAGACCTCTAGGTTATATAGGACTCGAAGTATAAGAGGAGGATGGGACTCTTATATAAGAGGCGCGAGAGTTATATATTATTATAGGACGGCCTTGTACACGACCCTCTACAAGCTAAGGACGGAAGGTAGGGCGAAGGAGCAGAAAGAGCAGCCTCGCGCGCGAGGCTAGGGACACGGTTACGTGACGTGCTCTAGTGCTCTAGGGTGCTCTGTTAGTAGAGTAATAGAGCACTAGAGAGCGTAGTGTAGGGTATACGGGTATATATACGCTTATTATTAGATAGTCTAGTTACACTCCTTTATAGCTAACTTATATTATCTACTTAGACCTACCTTTAAGTATCTTATCACACTTAGCTATCTACTATATCTCGCCCTTATATTATATCCCCTATACCCTTACTTAAGTATTATAACTAGAGACCTAACCCTTACTAGTTAGTCGAAAGGAGTAGCGCTAATACTTTAGCTACTACCCTTAATATAATATAGGTATATATATAAGTAGATACACTAGACCTTCTTTACCTACTAACGAAAGTCTCGCTCGCTAAGCCTTACACTTATCCTTAAATAAGACCGCGTTAATAAGACCTAGTACTCTATAACTAACACCTCTTACCTCGACATTATTTATTATGATTACTGAGGTAAAAGGATATTTAGGTAACGCCCTAAAGCCCTATAAGGAAGAGTAGAAAGGACTAACCCCCTTCCTTTAATATATAGATATATTCTTCCTAATAAACCCCAGTAAATTCCTAGACGAGCTTACTAAGGTTCTATTTACTAGCTCCTATCTAAAGGGAGACGCCGAAACCTAGTTTAGGCCCTACCTTAGGGACTATATCACTAATAAACTAGCTAATTAAAGTACTAATACGGGAGCTATCTTTAGTACTTATAAGGGGTTTAAGGAATAACTTAAGACCGCCTTCGGTGTATAGAATAAAGAATAAGAAGCCGAAGGATAGGTTATAAACCTCCGATAGACTAGGTCTATATAGGAATATATAACTAAGTTTAGAGGGCTTATCGCTATCCTTAAGTAGGACGATAGTATAATAGTCTCTATCTTCTAAGAAGGCCTAAAGCCCGTAATTCATTAGGAGCTACGAAATAATATAACTTAACGGTTAGCTAACTTAATAGTAAAGGCTATTAAGATCGATAGTAATCTCTAGGACTTCTATAAGGGCCGGTAGAGGAGTAGTAAAGCTATATATATAGTAAAGGGGACTTATAAACTAAATACCTTTAAGTAGCGAGAGCTATACTACGGACCTATATTAATAAACCTAGATACGGCCTAAAAGAAAAAAGGTAACGCTAAGGGTAGGTCCTAAAGGAGTAATAAAGGCGCTAAGATTCCTAAAGAGGAAAGGGAATAATACTTTAAAGAAAAACTATACTTTTATTATAGAAAACCTAGATATATTATAAGGAACTACTAGTCTAAGGCCTAAATATATTCTACCTAAGCGTCTTAGGGTACAGTTAAAGAGTCTTTATAGATTTAGTCTTGATAATTTATTTACTAGATAAATACCCCGTTAGGCTCTCCTCTCTCGTTATCCGTATTATTATATCTTATTAGGGGGTTAAGATATTATTGTCGCTATTATACTGGTTTTAGGCTTAACGCCCTACTTTTCTATCTTAGTATTCTCTTTTACTCTATAGGCGTATATTAATTCTGGTTCTACTCTATAACTATTTTAATATATTTATATCTTTTTACTCTACGACCGTTACTATATCTTTACTAGTATATTAATACCTTTTCTACTTTACAACTATATTTATATCTTAATTTATATATTAATATCTTTACTAGTATATTAATACCTTTTCTACTTTATAACTATATTGTCAGCGCTGCTCCTTTCGACTAACCGGTAAGGGTCAGGTCTCCAGTCACAATGCTCGAGTAGGGGTATGGGGGATACGACACA